CTTTCTTTCTTTCTTTCTTTCTTTCTTTCTTTCTTTCTTTCTTTCTTCCTTTTTTTTTTTGATGCAGGGTTCTGCTCAGTAGCCCAGGATGCCCTGGAACTTATCATGTAGCCCAGGCTGGCCTTAGAAGTTGAACTATTCCAGCCTCCAACTTCCAAAGCGCTAGGATTTTAAGCACATCCAGGCAGAATCTGAAAGTTAACCACCTCTTGAGCTGAACTGAATTCACATTCAACTGTAGGAAATACTTACCAACACATCCGTCTGTTTGGAGCTTGTTGTTTACTAGAGACAAGGAAGGGGAATGTCCAAAGGGCAGAACGTACTGCAAGGGCAATGTATTGGTGACCTCAAAAATGAGGTGGAGATAGCAAGTCTGTGTAGAGCTCTACACCTATTCTAAGTGCAACATGCTGCGGTACGGTTTGAAAGCCGGGCAAGGGGCTGGAGACACACACACACACACACACACACACACACACACACACACACAGAGAGAGAGAGAGAGAGAGAGAGAGAGAGAGAGAGAGAAGAGAGAGAGGTCATTCTTGAATTCTCCAAGAATGCCAACTTTATTGTGTTCCAGGGCAGCTTATATAGAGCCTTCCCTGATGCCCTAGCTCTTGGAATCCTTCAGTTGCACCACCAGAAACCACTCCCCGGCCATCAGGAACTCCTGAGGGTCTCGTGCTCAGAGCAGCTGCAAGAATAACAAGTTGTTTACTCCAGTAGGCAAGGGGGTCACAGGAAATTCAGGGTCTGGGGGTCCACAGTCCCCAACAAGTCCATAGTGGTCACTATTAGAGAAGAAGGACTCCTGTGTTAGCATCCTTCATCGCCAAGGAGCCGCTGCTGCTGCCTCAGCGGACAGAGTACTCCATGCAGGTGGCGCTTGCCATGCCATTATTGGTCCAGGGCTGGCCAACCTGCTCTCCAGGCCTTTCTTAGTCTCCACTCTTGCTATTGCCAAGTCTGTCACTCTTGAAAAAATGTAAGGGTTAAACTCCAGGAAGCAGCTAAAAAGATTTTAATTTTACTTATTTTCAAGAGATGGATCTTGCTCTATTACCCAGGCTGGTCCCCAAAGTGGGTTCAAGGAATCCTCCTGCCTCAGCTTCCTAGATGGCGGGGCAACACAAGTGCACTATGATTTGTCTAAGGAGAATCTTTTACATCCCAGGAAGCTCACAGCATGTGAATGAGACAGAGGAAGACTACTGAACACAAAGACAAATCTTGCAGGGAAATGGGGTCTTGATCATTGTTTTGTATGGCTGGCCCTGTAACCAAGGCTAGGGAGGGATCCACCAAAGCAGGTGGGCCTGAAGTTCGGGAGCATCCAGTCCTCTCCGCTATCTTCCACTTTACACAAAGAACTGTCTTTTTCCCTTCTTTTTCTCCCCCCTTTACTTTTCTTCCCCTTCTCTTTCTTCTTCCCTTCTCTTCTCCCCTCTCCTCTCCCCTCTCTCCCAATCCATGTGACCCTGACCCTGAGCAAATGATCTGTTATCTAAAATACAATCCTCTTAATCTTTCTTTTGTATTTCATAGTCTTATGCTTCAGGAAATCTCTCAGGAAAGACAGAATTTTTTGCTGTTGTTTAAAAAAAAAATAAGTCTTCTTCCATTAAAAACCCTTCCCTCTTATTTCCCTTTTGCAACACTCTTCACCCTTCCGTGCCTTGCCCTAAAATCTTATAAGCCAAGACTGGGCTCTTTTATAATTCATGGCATGTGATGCTTTGAGCCCTTCAATTTTCTTTAGAAGATGAATGGCCGCACCATTCTTTTCCACTGCATGGGGCAAGGCATCTCTATTTTTCTATGAAAGCTGGGGATTTGGGCTTTTTTTTTTTTTTGATCAAGTCAGATGTCTGTGTGTACTGCTGTTTGAGCAGAGCCAAGCAGAGAAATAGAATCAAGTGTCACTTTATAAGAACTAACTGGGTGTGAGACCAGACAAAATCAATAAAAAGTTTGAGTTATGGACTCCACGTCAAAGAAATCCAATTTTTACTACCCTCAAGTATACACGAACTCAAGACAGGCTAATCAAGTGCTGCAGGATAAAGGGCCTTTGAGGGTTTTCTTTAGCATATCAACAAAAATGATTATCTCAGTTGACTGACTAATCAATATCTTTTCACTCCACTGATTTGTTAGCTCATCAATACCACTGGGATTTTGTGTGTGTGTGTGTGTGTGTGTGTGTGTGTGTGTGTGTGTGTGGTGTGCACTCACATGTGTGTGCATTCATCTGGAAGCCAGAAGTAAACCTTGGGTATCTTCTTCAATCTCTTTCCATCTTGTTTACTGGCTCAGGCCACTTTTACCTGCACCTCGCAGATCAGGTGAGCCTGGCTGGCCCAGAACCACAGGAATTCACTGGTCTCTGCCTCCCCAGCCCTATGATTACATGCACATCACCATAGTGGCCTGTTTCTCTGTACATTCTGGGGATGGAGCGTGAATCCTCATGCTTATGTGCGAAGCACTTTAGCAACTGACTGATTACGGTGGTACACACCTTCACTTTCAGCACTCAGGTGGATTTCTATGAGTCCAGGCCAGCCAAGGCTGTGCAGTGAGACCCTATCTCAAAATTAACAGCCCCAGCCATCTCTCCCTCCCTGGCTTCTTTTCAGTTTACAGATGATGCCTATAGCAAACTTTTCAAGTTTATTCACCTAATCAATTTAAAATTGCCAATTTTATCTTCTTTACCTCTACCAACTTGCTTAATATACTTTGCTTTCAATCTTATTATCTCTAACAAAAGCTTAGAGAAAATCAAGGACAAGTGAGGTCTGCAACTAAATGATGCCTAATTGACTGGACAATCCCTTACAACCATCTCTGGTTTAGTGAAGAAATAGAATTAACAGAGGATCGGAGTCATGGCTAGATAAATTCCCTTCCATGGTAGTTCATGTTAGTTGTCAATTATGAAATTCAGAACTGCCTAGGGTCTGTGATGTTGCTCAATGGATCAGGGCACTTGTCACCAAGCCTGATGACATGATACCCACATAGTGGAAGGAGAGAACTGACCCCTAAAAATTGCCCTCTGACCACCACACATCGACATGCCCACACAACACAAATAAATAAATAGATAAATGTAATAAATATTTTGAAAAAAATAAATGCATAGG